GATGCTGCTCCAAATTTTGCTTTTCCTTCTTCCTTTCATGAATCTTTGATTCTTGGTGGGGAGTACAACTTCATAAGGAAGTAGGGGAAGAAGGGGGGTAAGCTTGCGCTCTTCCTTTCTGACTTTGAGAACACTATTCTGGCTTCTGCTTGTTGATTCCATCTGGTGGGTAAGTTTCTCTATTGGCTACCAAAATTTGATTTTCTTCTCAAGCATTTCGAGCTTTTGAATTTGGCTGGGGGTTGAAAGATTGGTGCTCTCGATATAAGACATATTCTGATTTAACTTTCTAAACTCTTTGCTCGTAGAACTGTTCGTTTTGAGGATGTTTTGATGAAAGGATGAAAGCCCTAAAATGGAGACTACTGATTTCGACCCTCGGGCTGTTATTCCTGTTTGGCTTCGTTTGCCTAGTTTAAAAATGCATCTGTTTAATCACAAGATATTATTTTCAATCGCTGCCATATTTGGTAAACCGCTGATGTTAGATGCTCCGACTTTCAATTTAACAAGGCCCTCTATAACAAGAATTTTAATTGAAAGAGATGTTACTTTACCCCCCCAAAAGAGGTTTGGATAGGTTCTACACATGCTGGTTACTGACAACAGGTTTTTCTTGAGAAACGTCCTCACTACTGCTCTCATTGCTGCATGTTTGGACATGATTTGGTGCATTGTTTTCACCTGCATCCTAAATTAAGGAAAAATAGCGCGGTTCGTTTAACCTCTGCTGAGATTAACTTAGCTCAGAGAACACCTCTTGAGATTGGACAAAATGTCCCTTGTTTGGAGGGGAATATTATGCAACATGGCGCCGTTGTGCATGATGGCCCACCAAACAATGAGAGAACAATGAGAGGTTTGAAGCCAGAGAGGTTTGAAGCCACAGTGGAACGGATTTCTGATACATAATGCTCACAACTCCCCACACCATCTCAAATTCTGCCACCTTCAACTACGAGCACTGAGCTATTGGTTGAGCAGAGCATTGAATTACCTATAGCCTATACTTCTGCTGGGGAATTACCCATTGTGGAAACTCCCCAAACCTTTGCACCTCAAACCCCCTGCTATGCACTCTACTACTACACAGACTGCTGATGTTCAGACTCTTGACCCGGTTGCTGATGCTGCTTTGGCCTTGGATTCTGAATGGAGCATTTAAAATTACAGTAGGAGAAGAGGAAGAAGGAAATCTGAAATTTCTAATTTGAAAACTTCAAACATTATTGATGTCACTTACCATTCTGAGGGAGAGCGCTTGCACCTTCCCCCTAGGATCACTAGGAGGGGTGCTTTGAGCCAACATGTTTAACATCTTAGTGTGGAACATTAGGGGAGTGGCAGACCCCCACTTCCTTAATCGTTTAAAATATTATGCAGGGTCCATAAGCCTGACATTTTTGCAATTTTAGAGCCACTGGTGTCTGTCCATAAGGATGGTATTATTAAAAAATTCAAAAATATCTGCACTATAGTAATCAAAACAACAAAATCTGGATTTTTTGGAGGAAGTTAAATTAAACATCATTGATGATGATTTGCAATATGTTCTTGTTCACTGTACGTTGGAAGAGTTTCATGGTTGGGCTACCTTTATTTATGCCAGCTTCTTATTACAAGATAAATTATTTCTTTGGCAACAGCTTATACACATGGGTGCTACTATTGCTTATAACTGGTTTGTTGGAGGTGATCTTAATATGGTCATGTCTCATTCGGAGAAAAGGGGTGGAGCTAAAGCTGAGACTAATCTTATCAATCGGTTCTGCGAGCATATTATTGATGCTGGGATTTTTTATTTGGGTTTCTCGGGTTCTCCTTACACTTTGAGGAGAGGTCTGCATATGCAGATGCTTGACAGATTTCTGGGCAACTCCTCTTTTCTGGATTATTATAATATCATTCATGTCAAGCATCTTAATCATGCTGCTTCTGATCATAATTCTATTTTGCTTAGCTTGACTTTTCATTCTAAACCTGCTCCCTCTCATTTACTCTCATTTTAAAATTTTCAATGTCTGGAACTCTCATCCTACCTTTATGAATCTGGTTAAATAGGCTTGGAGTACTGGGTTGTGTGGCAACCCATGGTTTATACCCATGGTTTATTTTGTGGCAATTTATTTTGTGGCAATTGCATAAAAAAGTGACTTCTCTTTTGAAGAAGTGAAATTTTGATGTGTCTGGCAATGCCCACTCCAGAGTTTTGAAAGCCCAACAGGAGATGGATGCACTGGAATCACATGTTATCTGCACTCCTCTTGTTGAAAATGTGGCTCAGGCTCACCATAAACTCCTAGAGGAAATCATTATTGAGGAAGATTTCTTACGACAAAATGCCTTTGACACTCACTTTAGCAATGATGATCGAAATACTAAATTTTTCCACGCTACCATCAAGCATAGAAGGAACATTAATGCTATTCTTAAGATTGTCACATCTGAGGGTGTTGTCCTTATTAATGTTGATCAAATTGGCTCCAATGCTGCGGAATACTTTGCTTCTCTTTATGATGATGTTCAGGTCACTGCAATTGATCCTGAGCTGTTTGATACGAATAGAGATTTGGTATCGTCCATCTCTTTGTCTGACCCTCCTTCGGAGATGGAAATTCTCACCGCTCTCAAAGAAATTCATTCTCAAAAGGCTCCTGAACCCGATGGTTTTACTTCTGCTTTCTATATTTCTTGCTGGGACATCATTAAGAATGAGATAATTCTAGCCATTCAAATTTTCAAGGAGAAGATCCTGGTAAGTATTTTACTGCTGCCCTGATTGTGCTTATCCCTAAATCCACTGATAAACTGCACTGGAAGAATTTTAGACCTCCCCCCAACTGCCACTATTACTACTTCCTATATTCTGGCCTATTATTCTAAGGCCCTTAGGGCCTCTACTAATGTTGTTCCCCTAGGTATGAGATCTAGGCCCCCTCGGTTAGTCAGTTGGACGCCCCATCCTCATGGCTGAGTGAAAGTTAATGTCGATGGTAGTTGAAATGACCTTTCTGCTGTCGTTGGTGGCCTCTTTAGAAATTCTGAGGGGCACTTTATGGGCTATTTTACTTATCCTGTTGCCGCTGATACTCCCTTAGCACGGAATGTTGGGGGGTATATCTTGCTTTAAAAGTGGCTTTTGCTTTTAATTTTCATACTATTACTGTTGAAACAGACTCAAAATTGCTTTATGAGATGTTAATAGATGTCTCTCCACTTCTCTGGGATATTATTTGTACCCTCAAACGTATACAAGCTGTAATAGCTAATCGTCACCTGATCGTTACTTGGAGCTTCATTCACAGGGAAGGTAACTCCCCTGCCGATTGGTTAGCCAGGAAAGCAGGTGGAGTGTGCACTGTTGGATTATCCCCCCTTCTCCTCTCCGACTTTTACTTACTGGGGACTGTTTAAGTTTGCCTTTTTTTAGACCTTAGTGAAGTCTTGATGCACTGCTCGCTGGTTTGGTTTTTCTGCTTCATTTATGCGCTTTTATCTGCACTTTTTCCTTTGCTGCTCTCTATGTTTCTGGCAAGTCGAACCGCCGTCTTTGCTGTGCATTCTTTCATGTTGTTGATGGACATCCTGATTTGCGATCTACTCTTTGCTGGACTAATTACTTATGGGTCATTTTCCCTGTTGGCAGAACTGTTCGTATGGAGCGTTTTTGGAGTTTTATCTGATGCCATTTTTTGGATTTTCTTTAGTGTTTTGCCTGTATTGTTTTACATATGCACAGGTTTACTTATTTTGGGTTTTGCTTTTTTGGTTTGGTTATACTTGTATTTTTCGGGTTTTGATTTTGTCTGGGCTGTACTGTGGGAGGAGGAACCCCTAGAGGTGAGTTTTTTCAAATATATTTTTTGGGTTTTTTAGACGGGGATCCTCCACCCTTCCCCTCTCTTGTACCTTTTCTTTATTAACAGGTAGGGAGCCACCGTTGCTCTTTCTCCAAAAAAAAAAAGTTTCTCAATGACTTGGTACTTTTGTGGGCTATGGATTATAGGGTACACCTAATATGACAGCTTTTTGTTAGCTAATACTGAATTAAATGTCCCATTAGACAAACTTTCACCTTAAGTCATCAAAGTTTAATTGGGTGAAACAACTCATGACTACTGATAAAGATCTTTTTGTAAAGTTTGACTACTTCATGTGACTAAGTAGACTAGGGACCATACTAACCTGGGAGGATGGAATCATGAGATCTCGATCTAGTTTGTCATTATTCCCTCTACTATCATCTCTTTCATAGTGATAACTTTCATAATTTAAAACTTAAACTGTTGTTACTATATGTCGAGCAATCAATTCTCTAATAATTTGTCTTAATAAAAATGCTCTCTCGATATCGGGATGGATAATTAATCATAGAGGCTTGCGCCTATGAGCCACCTTGAACTTCAAATCTTAAAATCCTCACAAAATGAGTACGAAATCTCTAGGTAGTACCCTATGTACTGTCTCTTCCGTCTTCTAAAAGTTTGACCCGAAAGCTCATGTAAAACTCTCATTCATTTCGAGGGAGATCGAGGCACAAATTTTGGCATCCCACAACACTTGACATTACGATTGTCATCGCCACTTACACTAAAGTTCTCGTTGGTAGAAAAATTATCATCATCAATAAAAATATAATTTGTTAAGCTAGCTCTTTAAAAAAGTACACATCATCATCAAGTGTCCCTGCTGCATTGATTGTGTCCGACTCCAATTTTGGAGAAAAAATTTATCAAGCATGATTTTCACGTGTCAAACACAATCTAGCGCTACATATTCTGAACTGTTTGTATCGAGTGCCAAAATTTTGTCCTGCTAAATGATCAAGAAATTTTTGGTTGCTTTATTATTATTCTGCCTGGACATTGTTTTGACTGAATTTATTTTCTATCTTTTTGCCATTTCTTTGAGTTGATTCTCAAAATATTAAAAACATCAAATATATATAACATGTTCTTCTGCCGTTTAAAATCACTGTATTACATGAAATGACTTTGCAGGATTTCAATGGTAGAGTGCATGGGTTAAAAGTAGAAACAATTGATACTACTGGGGCTGGGGATGCTTTTGTTGCTGGATTATTGTCGCAATTAGCCAATGATGTTTCTTTGCTCAAGGTATGTTCAGTGATTCTAGCTCATAATACTTCGGTCAAATGGCATTGTTATACGTGTTGTAATTTGTCCTCAATAACTTTTCCAGTACAAGCCTAGAAAATTGAGTTATCCTTTGTGCATCTTTTTAAGTAGAATTAATGTAGATTTTTTAGTGATTGACTTGCGTAAAATTGCCGAACCGATAATATGATTGGGGAATTTACTTAACGTAGCACACAATCTCATGTATTTACATGTCTCAATCCTAAACTTTCATATTTACACAAAAATTTCTTGCTTTAAACCTATCCAAGGAAATGTGTATCACTTTTAAAAAGTGATAATAGTGCTATTTTTAATGTAATATTATAGATTTGAGTTCTAAATGTATAAATATGAAAATATAAATATATTAGAATTCTATGCTATCTATTTAAAAGCCCCAATATGATTTTATGAAAACTATGAAAAGGATTCTCCAATGATGAACGAATGGTTTAAAGATGTAAGTTCCGTATCCTCTTCTTAGTGAGTCCTAAGGGTGTTTTTCAACTTTAGCTTCATTATTGCTACTTTCAAACAAGCAGGCATGGCCAGCTAAACTGTTGTGGGTCCACAAATATGGTCCCAAGAGAGAAGATTGAGATGCCGGAAGATTTAAACACAAACAAGGCTACCTTTTCCTATAACAGTATAAAATATTATAACTGCACATAATTCTGTCAAAAAGTGTAACGAAACTTATTTCTACTGGAAAAGATCCAGAGGTTTTAGGGAGAACTTCAATTTAACTAGTCTCCGGAGTTTATTGTATTTTATTAATCTTATTCGTGAACCTCAAATGCTATAACTGATGCAAGCATGAAGTCAAGTCCTGACTTGTAAGTGGACAAATTTAATTTGATCGAACAAGAAAGGGCAAAAAACAATATAGTCAAGGGGCATCTAAAGTAACCAAGTTTTCCCTGAGCTTGGTGGAGCTTTTTCTTAACCTGAGTTATAAAAGTTTCAAACACAACTGAATTTGGTCAGTTTGGAGGGGCTAGTTTCTTATACATGCTTTGGCTTTATGTATGTGAAAATTCTTATTTTCTGTTTGGTTTAACAAAATTCGAACCACCTGCAAACTGAATATGCTTCTGTGTGTGTGCTCGCCGCCCACACGTGCGTGCTGCATGTCTGCTTATTAGTCAGCACAACAATGCAAATTGGTTCAGGTTTGCTTCCAAAAGATTGTCAGGTCAATGCACTTTTTGAGTATTTTTTCGTCATTATTATCCTTATCACAATAATACATGTTAACACTTTTATCCATTTTTCCTATGGCCTTCCTCTTTATGTTCCTAATACTTCAACACTAAATTTATCTAAGCATCTTATAAGTATACTTTTACCTTGCAGTATACATTCCCACGCCATTTTAGTCTTTTTTATTACTATCTTATCTTAAACATTTTCTTAATCCATCTTTTCTATTTTTGATGCATTCTTTTACTATTTTCATCTTGTCATGCCCAACTTTTTACTACTCAACACTTGTGTCGATATAACAATACTATCTACATTTTATTTTTATATAATGTATATTTAAACTCTCGTAATATTCTTTTATCGCATAGTACTCTTGAGGCACTCTCATTGTAACCACTTAACCAACTATAGTTGTCTCCATCTCTCTCTCTCTCTCTCTCTCTCTCTCTC